TGTTAAAAATTATTTTTACCGAATTGTTTGTTAAAAATATGAAAAATGAGAAATTTCAATTCATTTTAATTTAAAACCTTTTCAAAATTCAATTATTTCTAAAGATTCCACGTTTTAATGCTTTTAATATTTAATTGTATAATCTAAAATTTTAACTAAAATTCATATTTAAATCAATTTTTATTAGAAAATTCTGCGAGAATTCCATTATTTAAATACAAAAAAAAAATTATTGAATAATTAAATGTTTCTTAAAATAATTGAACTCTCATAAAGAATTTTATCAACAATTTTTTAAATAATTAAAATTCGAATTTTAATAAAATTTTAAAAATAATTTCATTTTTCGAGAAATTAGATTAAAATTGTCTTAAAAATAATTGAATCTCTGTAAAAAAATTTGTTTGTGAATTGAAAAAAGTTTTTGAAAATAATTGAAATTTTGACAGGAATATTATTAAATTTTTTGAAAATAATTGAATTTTGAAGAAGAATTTTATTATTTATAAAGATAATTGAAATGCTGACGAGAATTGTTTTAAACTTTTGACCATAATTGAATTTCTGCAAAGAATTTTATTACTTTTGAAAATAATTGAATAATCTCGAGACGAATTTTAATAATATATTTCTTTTTAAATAATTGAATTCTTTTGTGAAATTTTATTGAAATAGTAGATATTTAAAATAATTGAATTTTGATATTTTATTGAAATTAATTTAATTTCTACGAAGAATTTTATTAAAATTATTTTGAAAAAAATTGAATTGGCAAAAAGAATTTCATTAAAATTTTTGAAAATAATTTAATTCTTTTAAGAAATTTATTAAAAAATGTATTGGCAGTAATACTTAAATTCTAATAAATAAATTATAGGAAGGCTTTTTAAAATAATTGAATTTCTTTCATGAATTTTAATGAAATTTTTAAGAATAATTACATTTTTCGAGAAATTCCATTAAAATTGTATTAAAAATAATTGAAATTCTGCGATGAATTTTATTATTTATGAAAATAATTGAAAACCTATAAACAATTGTATTATTCATGAAAATAATTAAATCCTTGTAAAAATTTTATCATTTATAAAAATAATTGAATTATTGGATAGAAATTTATAAAAAAAATTGTAAATAATAGAATTGCTGTGAAATTTTTATTATTTAATTAATTCATTAACAATTGAAATTTTCTAAAATTTTAAATTTTAAATCTTTTGAAGTTCATCTATTTATGAAAATTGTAAACGCAACTCTTTTAAAATTCAATTTATTTTGAAATATTTATGTAAAATTAGAGTTCAAGAACAAACACAATAACTTTAGAAAAGAATAATTTTCCAGGATTCCGATCTTAATTCCCTGACTTTTCTAGGTTTTTTCAAGGTTTATAAAATTCCCTGACATTTTTCGGTTTTCCAGGTTGCGTGGCAACCGTTAATATTTCTCTGGTAGCGAAATTTTCTTCACAAAAAATTGTCGTGGAGTTTTTTAGAACAAAAAAAAAATGAAAACTAGTATTTAGCAAAATTACCACTTTATAAAAAATAGCACTGGTCCATTTACAAAAATGAAAATTGAAATAGGTATGAAAGTATGATTATGAAATGAAATGATGATTTTCTGTTCAGAAGCAGCAGACTGAGAACAAAGTGGTCCAGGAGGGCGAGCAAGAAGTGCTGGTTACCTCGAGTAAGTGTATCTAATTACCCTGGCGTTTACTTCAACGTTTACTGTGATTTACGGCAAAATTGTGGCTGCGACCTTCGCCCAAGACGAGAACCAAGCGATTTCGTAGCTAAAAAGTTGAAAGGATTCGGTCATTTATCATGACGGCGTCCTAGGGTGCCTTGGGGGCAGCACGGGAATGAAAAGGAGAGGGATATCATCCTTTGGACAGACTAATCGCGGACTAACTATCCGTGTATTATCTACAATAATTCCACGTTACCGGAGGACCGATCGTGGCTTGGACCGTTTGGTATACATTCTCGAGATCAAATGCACTTAAAGAAATAACAGTCATAAATATCTTTTACGTCGATTTACACTCTGAGAAAAGTTCGACTCGAGAAGTGTTCCTTGATACTTTGCTAAATTTGATCATTATTTTCAAATGTAAGAGATCCATCAAACTTTCTTCAATTAATGATTCATTTCAAGATTTGAATTCCCACCTTTTTAAATGCACCTTAGGGTACAAAATATCAGAAGAAAATTCAACTAGCTACAAAGGGCACTGACGTACCCCTACTCATTTACAAATTAGATAACTGAGTCAAAATTTCCGAACTGGGCCACCTAAAACAAACTTTTTAAATTTGCATTATGTCTAAACATAATTTGTTACAGGGTGGTACAAAAACATTCCCAGTATTCGTTTTCAAAAATTTTAATTTTTCAATTAGTTATAAACAATTAATCTTTAAAGTATACCTTTTTAGAAAATTCACTATTGCTTCGTTGTTTCTTGATAAAATTTAATAATATTAGGTAGCGATATACAAAAATAATGCCTTTATTAATAACAACAAGAATTTAGAAAATTCATGATTATTTATGCAAAATTAATTGTTAATTAATTGAACAATTAAAGTTTTAACTGACTTCTGGAATAATTACGAAAAAAATTCAAAAACTACAAAAATCTATGTTTTTGAATTTTTTTCGTAACTATTCCAGAAGTCACTTAAAACTTTAACTGTTTTATCAATTAACAATTTATTTTGCATAAATAATCATAAATTTTAAAAATTTTTGTTGTTAAAATAGAGACATTATTTTTTTTATATCTCTACCAAATATTAATAAATTTTATCAAAAAACAACGAAGTAATAGTAAATTTTCTAAAAAGGTACTTTAAAGTTTAATTGTTTACAACTAATATAAAACATTTTCAATACAGAATGCATATTTTTTTTGAACAGCAGTTTCCGGATAGGTTTAAATTTACAACACAAATAAAAGTAAGAAAAACAATCGGCAAAAAAATTACTTCAGAGATTGTTTGTGATGAATTTTTTGAATTATCGAGACTGCGACTGGATGTCGATCGTTTTATGGAACATATGGAATTTGGGACCGAAAAATAGTCCTGTACAGGAAATTGCTAACGACTTAAACGTCGGGGCGGTACCATAGGACCCATGGACCATGTGATGGATGGACTCTGGCACACTGTAATTTTCAGGCGTTATGGCCTATACCATTTGATATCTTCTATGACTCTTACTCTTTTTACATAAACTTATACTGTTCTATTGGCAATAAGATAATTTTTTTAGGGAAGATATAATTATTTAGTTTTAATTATAATTATTATTATAAAACCGAATTAAAATAGAATTAAAATTGTAATTAGAAATTAAATCATAATTCAAACTAAAATCATAATTACAACTAGAACTTTATTTCGAATTCAAATTTTTGTTCAAATTACAATTAAAATTAGAATTCGAACTTAAATCATAGTTAGAATAAAAATTACAATTCAAACTTAAATCGTAATTGGAAAAAAAATTAGAATTCGAACTTAAATCGCATAATTACGATTAAAATTAGAATAAATAAAATTTAATTGAAATCACTGGCTCATTATGTAAATGACAGTTTAATGGCAACATAACATGTACAGAGTCAGTTACATAGTTTTTTCGAGAATATTTTTCGTCCCCCGTTTTTTTTTCTTCGTTAATTATTATCTCGCTGACAAATTATTTCCAAAGACAAATTTCACAGCTTTTTTTTCATACATATACACAGCACAGAACATACTTTATAAAACACGAACAGTTTCTATAATCATTTTTTGACAAAAAGTTTCGAAGAAAATATTTTCAAACCAAATATTTTCTTTATAATAAAATAATACAATTTTTAGTAACTATTTTACTTAAATTTTATATTATTTCTTTTATTTCGCTCTTCTTTTCTGTTTGGAAAAAAAAATATTTTGAATTAATTGTATTTATAGGAAATTTATTTTGAACTATTTTTAACTATTTCTTTTATTTGGCTCTTTTCCTCTGTATTGTATAATAAAAAACTATTTGAATAAAATTTTAATTTATTTAAAACAAAAGAAGAGTTACTGTTGAAGTAAAAAATATTAAGACAAAGATAAGAAATCTATACTTATTTAAAGAAAAAAAAACATTTTTAAATTCGATTTTTTCAACAAATTTTATTTATTTTCTTTTTCTTCGAAACTTGTGGCAAAAATGAGATTTAAATTTATTTTACAAAAATCGAACACGAATAAATACCGTCAAAACGTTTAAAATTTAAGATTTCTCTTGAACAAAATTTTATTTTCAAGGGCTTGAATTTTTATGTCACTAAACAATTAAATTTTTTCCAATTTTTTTTCCTTTCAATAATAAATAATTTGAGAGAAAAATTCTATGAAAAGAAAATAGTTTAGAAATAATAAAATAATTTTTTCCATATTATTAACAATAAATAATAATAATAATAATAATAATAATAATAATAATAATAATAATAATAATAATAATAATAATAATAATAATAATGATAATAAAAATAATAATAATAACAATTATTGTCAAATTAATTTTACGAGGCCTTTAAACGGATTTCGTAAAATTAATTTTAAAAAAATATTTAAAAACGATCGTAATTACTTGAACAAGAATAAGTATTATACAGTTATTAATTTTTCTGAATCAATAATTATTATTTTTTTTGTATTATTAGTTATTTATTATTAAAGAATTGTTGTTATTTATTATTGATTTTGAAACATAATTTAAAAATAAAATTTGCAAAATTACTGACAAATTTCTAATGAATAATTTCATTAAAAAAAATTGCTTTGAAAATTCAAAGTTCGTAATTAATCGAATAGTGACAATTTCTTATTTATTTATTTATTCATTCCCTTGCAATGATTATGTTTATAATAATAAATTAATCCACAGTAATCTGGGTAAAAATTCGTGTACGAATATGGTACAATTATCATACAAGTAGAAAATTATTTGCAAAATTTGTATTTTTCTTTAATTCCTCCTCCAGTTTTCTTATCGCCGACAGATTTTTATTTACAATAGATTGAAACTGTATCGTTTCGGAAAAAAACATGCAAATTGTCGGCCTAACTCCCAAAATATTATTATAGAACTTATTCCCTCTAGAAGATTCGTCTAATATTATTTTTAATTTTTTATCATTACTGTTAAAATTCTTATTACGATTATTATTACTATTATTATTATTGTTAATATTAATATTATAATTATATATAATAATAATATGCAAGTAATATCTCGAGAATCAGTTTCTGTATTCGATTTCAGTATCGAAGAGAGCTCTCGGTAAAAAACTAGAAAAAGCTATTAGTTCACTTAAAAATTTTTCGTCAGTGCTGTTTTTATTTCTTTTCTTTCTTTCATTTTTTCATTTTATTCTTCCCCCTTCTATCTTTACTTCTTTTTTCTCTACTTATTTTACTTTTGCTCTTTAATCAAAATTCGTCAATTCGTACAATTTTTCAAAACTTTCAGAAGGTCGCCTTAAATTACAAAAAAAAATTCGTTTCGATAATTTTTTTTTGCACACGTAAAATATTTTAATTGCACGTTTTGATACTATAACTATAAAGAATATAAATTATGTAAAAGCTAATTCAAATCTAATTAAAATAATTTTTTTTTAATTAAAAAAGAATTAATTCAAAAAAACTAATTTTTTTTTAAAGAAAACAAAATGAAAAATATAAATAGGAACCTGCAGAAAAATAGCAGAAATAATTTTAACTGAAAAAGGGGATTATTAATAATTATTATTTTCAATGATTGAAAAATTATGTGATTCAAAATATACATGTTTATGTACTTATATAATTACATTGCCTTCAGCGAGAGACAAAATGTCAATGATTTCCACCAGAAATAATTCGTGTTTTGTATTTTTGACAAATTTGTTGTCATAAATATGTAAAAATTGAATGTTAATTTTTCTTTTATGAATTTTTAAAAACCAAATTCTTCCTTTAAAAAGTCAAGTCTTTGGCTGTCTTCTGCAAGTTTATTTAAATAGCTATAGAATAAAGCAATTATTATACAACTTTCTTCCTTGTTTTTCCTGTTTTTGCTTTTCTTTGAATACACGATTAATTTAATATCTGAAACGCGGAATAATTTTACATTCTGTGTTGACCATTAGGAGCGAATTGTGATTGTTGATTCGCTGGTAGACCAGGCGGTCCTTGTGGATTAAATGGGCCGTGAACTGGACCGTGTACAGGGCCAGGTACTGGACCAGGTTGCGGCTGAGTTGGATATCTGATTCAGAAATTCAAATTCAGATCTCACTCTTTGTTCATTTCATTTTATATTTTTAAGATTAAAAAGTAAATTTTTTTAACAGAAAGAATCATTTTTCCATTTGTGTTGTATTGGTCTTTTTTTCGGGGATATTTAATTTAACATTTGGACGGAAAGAATTAATTATTGTTAAATTATTCAATTTACTCAAATAATTTAATTGTGTTTATAAATTAATTAATAATCAGGGTTGCCACAGGTCAAGGAATAATTTTCCAATTGAAGATATTAAAAAAATAAATGTATTACAAGCATGTTTTTGTGTATCCAATTATTTTTAGAATGAATTTTTTTTTAGAATGAATTTTTTTCTTTAGGATCTGATTCTGTCTGGAAATCAGGGGAAAATTAAATTAAATTTTTATGGCAACCCTGATTAAATTATTTAATTTTATCAAAACTGCTAAAATTATCGTTAGGATTATTATAAAAATAATAATTTGGAGAGAATTCGAACCACGCTTTAATTAATACCACTGAGTGATAAATTCTTAATACTATATTATTATTATCCTATTTATGTTTTGAATTTAGAAAAGTACTCACCCCTGAGGTTGATAAGGGACACTGGTTTGTTCAGGTACCGGAGGTGGACGGGGATGATTTCCAGGTATCATGGGGAAATTTTGAGGCATCGCCATCATCGGCATATTAGCTGGTCTCATAAATTCTGCCCTCGGAATATTTGCATGCATATGCATAGGATTGCCCATTGGCGGTGGATTAAAAACACCTTGTGGCGGTGGTGGCATGCCATTAAACATCTGTAAAAATATTTCAAATTATTTATTTAATTCAATTTTTTTTACTCATTTCATTTATTCCATTCAATTAAAATTTTTATATACTTCATAAAATTCAAATTTTTATTTATTTCATTCAATTAAAATTTCAATTCAATTGAATTCAAACTTTCTAGTTAAATTCACTTATAATTATTAATTATTTAGGGCTCGAACCAGTGAAAGAATTTAAAAATACGAACTATACGGACAATAAATGAAAAATTACGGATCATTTACGGACCAATAGTCGAATAATTCAATGATTAGGTATTTTCAAAAATTTTTTTCTAAAAAGTTCTTTGGCAATTTTTAAATCTATTTATTTACAATATTCAACTTCACGAATTTTCAATTATTCCTCAATTCTTCAATTAAATGCATATTAGAAAATAAAAACTTCAAATAATTTTTTAAAAAATCAATTAAACTTTCTCAAAAAAATTAATTTCAAAATTCAATTATTTCTAAAAATTTACGCTATATTGCTTTTAATATTCAATTATTATAATTTAAAATTTTAACTGAAATTCATTTTTAAAACAATTTTTATTAGAAAATTCCACGAGAATTCCATTATTTAAATACAAATGTAAATAATTTATTAAATAATTAAATGTTTCTCAAAATTCAACTCTTATAAAGAATTTTATCAACAAATTTTTTAAATAATTAAATTATTTTATCCAATTTTATTAAAACTAGCATGAAAATAATTACTTTTTTCAAGGAATTCAATTAAAATTGAATGAAAAATAATTGAAATTCTGCGATGAGTTTAATTATTAGTAAAAATAATTGAATTCCTGTAAAAATGTCATTATTTATGATAATAATTGAATTATTGCGAAGAAATTTATAAAATATTTGCAAATAATTGAATTCCTGTAAATTTTTTTATTGTTATGAAAATAATTGAATGTTTGCGTAGAATTTTATTCAAATTTTTTTTAATAATGGAATTCTTTTGGATAATTTATTAAAATAGTAGATATTGAAAATCATTGAATTTGAGACAAAATTTTTGAAAATAATTGAAATTTTGCCAAGAATTTGATTAAAATTTTGGAAAATAATTGAATTTCTGCGAAGAGTTTTATTATTTATAAAAATAATTAAATTTTTTTGAAATCATTTGTAATTTCTCTAAAATTCTTCAAATTATATCGAATAATTTACGAACGTTTCGTCCTTTTTCAATCAAATAACGGACTTTACTTTTCTTTTTACTTTTTTACTTTACTTTTTATAACTTTCCCAAGAAACTGACTTTTACGGACTTGAAGCAAATTTACGGACAAAATGAATTCCTTTATTGAAAAATACTTGTAGAAGATTGAAATAAAATCAAATTTACGTGGTTTGGAGGTGCTGGAGGTGGAGGTCCTTGATTTGGAAATTGAAAAGCATTCATGTTAGTTGGTGGCATTTTCGAGAGAATATAATTAGCCGGCACTGCTGGATTTGGTTCCCTCATTAACGAATGGTACAAATTAAGTGCATCCACTAAATCTGAACTCAATTGTGTTAATGTTGCGTGTTGACGATCCGTTTTTTCAAGAGCCGTGTCGATCAATGGACCCATTGCCGAAACTTGTTCTGAAATTAAAATCAAATATTTGTATTTTTTGAAAAATTGTCCTAAAAAAGAAAAAGCAACAAAAAAAGAAAAAAAACAATCAAAGGAAGAAAAAACGATCAAAGAAAGAAAGAACAATCAAAAACAAACAAAATAGAAAAAAACAAGAAAGGAAAAAAATAAAATCTAAATTAAATAAATTCTCGAGATTTTACCTTCCAAGTCGAGCATTTCCGGAGGATCTGTACTATCAGACTGTGGATCCGCTTCGTGCAATAAATGCATAAGTCTATCAATTTTTTGCTCATTTATTTCCACTTCTAGTACTTCCGGTTCCCTCTTTACCGTTTTGACTTCCACTTCATCAGAAAATTGCACCAATTTTTTCCCACTCTCGACCTCTGCAATTTATCGAATTTGTGTGTCAATTAATTAAAAATAAATTTATTTATTATTAATCAGAATTTAATCATAAATTAATTTTTCTATAGAATTTTATAACGAATTGCCCATTACTTGTTGTTTCCGGTTGTGCGGAAAGATCTGCAGTGACAAAATTCGAAGGAAAAAGACCCTCTCCACGATGATTGCTTCCTTTCCACCAATTTTGATCGGAATCATCGAGAATATGAACTGAAATCAATAAAATTTCATAATAATAAATTATTTCATAATCAATAAAATTTCGTGTTTTTCAATAAAATTGAAAAGAAAAACATACTTATTTCTCCAGCCATAAATGTCAATTCGTTGTCTTCAGCTGCCTCGAAATCGTAAAGTGCACGCACTTTTCTTCCTTCGTTATTTGTTGTCGATGCCATTACTGAACTTACATTAGGATACAAACTGGGAGATTTTTTTGTTGCCGGCGAACTATGCGATGTTGATTGATACTGTTTATTTTCCTTCAAGGACAGTTCGATTGCTATTTAAAAAAAATTTTCGCGATTGAAATTAGAAATTTCTATTGAAATAAAATGTACATTTAAATTGAAATATTTCTATTTAATTAAAATAATTGAAATTCACCTCTTGCAATATCCTCTTCTTCCTGAGAATTTGAAACTACATTTGGATCTTTACTAAGGACTGTGGAATGTTTAGGCTGAAAAAAAACAATTATGAATTAAATTAATTTTTCTCCTGTTGGTTTTTTAATTGGTAAAATTTATATTTAATTTTCTTACCGTTTCTAAGATAGTTGGAAAAACGACTCCTTCGCTTAACAATTTATTGTAAAAACTGGGTATTAAATTTAATTGTGGATCCGTTTTGAAATCACCTTCCGCCCATTTTTTGAGTAATGCTTTCAATTTCTCGCAAGGCTTTGGTTGAAATTTGGATAACAATTTTTTTAATTCATTCTCAAAGTCACGCGACGCAATTTCTAAATGAAATACTTTACCACAATTATTCGAACAGGCGTCCAATAACTGAAAGTAAAAATATTTGTTTTTCATTAGTCAAATAATCTTTAACGTCCGAGATCTTTTTTTAAAATAAGGCAAATAAAACGAAAACATTCGGACAATGAATAAAAATATATTTATTTACTGTACTCCAATGTTTCGAAATCTACATAATTTTCTCTTCAGAGAATCTATCCAAAAAATATATACAAAATTAAAATAATAATAAATAATTTAACAATAAAAAAATTTAAATTAAAAAATAATTATCTTACCAAAAATTAATAAGTAAAAAAACGAAGACTTAAAATTTACTTTACGGACTTTACGGACCAAAAATTAAAAATTAAGGACGAATTACTAATTTACTTACTTACTTCTTCAAAATTATTTTCATCATTTCAATTCAATTATTATTATTTTCAAAATTTTTTAACTAAAATTCTACTTTAGATCAATTATTTTTAATAATTTTCGAAAAAGTTCTTTGGCAATTTTCAAATCCATATGTTTACAATATTCAATTTCACGAAATTTCAATTATTCCTAAATTCTTCAATTAAATGCTTACAATTAGTAGAAAATAGAAACTTTAAATAATATAAAAAAAAATGAATTAAACTTTTTCAAAAAAATTAATTTCAAAATTCAATTATTTCTAAAAATCCACGCTATTTTGTTAATATTGAATTATAATCTAAAATTTTAACTGAAATTCATTTTTAAATCAATTTTTATTAGAAAATTCCACGAGAATTCCATTATTTAAATATAAAAGTAAATAATTTATTGAATAATTGAATGTTTCTCAAAATTGAATTCTCATAAAGAATTTTATCAACAAATCTTTAAATAATTGAATTCATTTGTCGAATTTTATTAAAACTAGCATAAAAATAATTACTTTTTTCAAGGAATTCAATTAAAATTGTAAGAAAAATAATTTAAATTCTGCGATGAGTTTTATTATTAGTAAAAATAATTGAATTCTTTAGAAGAATTTTATTACTCTTGAAAATAATTGAATTTCTACAATAATTTGTTACTTCTCCAAAATTTAATTTTTTTCTAGCTTTTTCAACTAAAATTATTCTATAAATCCATTATTTTTAATAATTTTTGAAAAAGTTCTTTGAGAATTTTCAAATTCATTTGTTTACAATTTAATTTTACAAAATTTTAATTGTATTCGGAAATTCTTCAATTAAATATATATTATAAAATAAAAACTTGAAACAATTTTTAAAAAAATCAATTAAACTTTTTTAAAAGAATTAATTCTACAGAATTGTTTGTTATAAATATGAAAAGTTAAGAATTTCAATGATTTTAATGTGAAACCTTTTTAAAATTCAATTATTTTTAAAAATTCACGCTATAATGCTGTTAATATTTAATTATAATTTAAAATTTTAACTGAAATTGATTTTTAAAACAATTTTTATTAATAAATTCTACGAGAATTCAATTATTTAAATACAAAAAGAAAGTAATTTATTAATTTAATGTTTCTTAAATTTAAATTCTTATAAAAAATGTTATCAACAAATTTTTAAATAATTAAATTCTTTGGACGAATTTTAATAAAATTATTAAGAATAATTACATTTTTTGAGGAATTTGATTAAAATTGCATTAAAAATAATTGAAATTCTGCATTGAGTTTTATTATTTATGAAAATAATTGAATTCCTAAAAGAGTTTTATTATTTACAAAAATAATTCAATCCCTGTAAAAATTTCATTATTTATGAAAATAATTGAATTTTTCTACAATCAGTTGTAATTTCTCTAAAATTCTTCAAATTATGTCGAACAATTTACGAACTTTTCATTCTTTCTCAATCAAATTACGGACTTTATGGACCATATTTCAATAAAAGTGACTTTTACGGACATGAAGAGAATTTACGGACCTAGTTCGAGTCCAGCCTGAAGATGAAATTATTTAGATTTCGAAACGTTGGGGTAAATAAATATATTTTTATTCATTGTCCGAATGATTTCGTTTTATTTGCCTTATTTTTTTTTATATTATTTTAGTTTGAAAATGTTTTTTTTGTTTCTGGAAAAAATTACTCACTGTTATGGCATATAAAACAACGTGTGGATCCTCATGGTTCAGTCTCTTCACAATTGATTTTAAACAGTCCTTGGCGTTTATAGGTGAATTACCTACTTTATCACAAATATCCATAATAAGTGCCCAGTTTTCTGTCGTGTTTTTTTCATTTGTTGCCTTTTCTGAAAAAAAACAGAATGAAAACTTGCATAAAAAACATTTATTTATCTTGAATGTAATTTGTAAAATGATATCAAATTATCACACTGCATTTATTCTAAAAGTTGTTTAAAAAAATGTCTGTTTTTAAATATTTTGTTTTGGATTTATCTCTTGTGAGAATAATCGTTGAACTTTATGATTAGTGACAAATAAACGCTATAGCATAAAAAAGTAATATGATACAAAGCGTAATAAAAATATAAATATAGCATAAAGTAAATTTACAAAATAAATAAGAAAATATATATTAACCATTTGCTCTTTAATTATTTGTCTGCCATTTCAATCGCCATAATGAGAATTAAAAAAAAAAGTCTCCAGACTTTAAGTTCTAAATACGTTATTCACTCAAGGGTTAAATGTTAATCAATTAATTTGGTTAATTCAGAAAGAAATAAATTTCAATGACGTTAAAATTACATTAACTCAATTCTCTGTATAAAACAAGGTTTCTAGATTGGTGTCACAAAGAATTTCTCTTTCTCCAGTATAGTGTGACGAAAATTGTTCGGAAAATTTTCCTATAAATTTTGTTGTTTAATGATAAATCATTAAAGAGGGAGAACATAATTTTTCTTGTAATTTATGATGAGAAATGACAAGTGTCATGAAATTTATTGTTTTAAATGACAATTGTGTCATCAGGGAGAGGTTGTGCTATACTCACCGACGTCAGAGTCGAAAGGCGAACTAGAAAAAAACCACATTATTAATTGTTTTCTTGGTGGATTTTTTCTAATTAAAAGAAGAGTCTGATAACTGTCACAAAAGCACTTTTTCTTTTTTGATACGCATCCAGCTGATAGTCATTTAATAAACACTTTTGTATGACTAACAACATTCTTATTATCATCATCAAAGAGCCGCCATTTTTATTTTCGAGCTGCCAAAAATATCTCGAATGTTCGAGTCACGAGGGTCACGAGTATTCGATATATTTGGTGGGAAATTTGAATTTTTGAAAATTTAATTTTTATTACAGAAGCTTTTTTTATTAACTAATTGTTAAAGATAGAAGATTATTACTGAAAAAAGGGAAATAATTATTAAAAATATAAATTTTTACTATTTATCAAATATGGGAATCTTTCTTTTTAATTAAACAATTTTCAAAATCAAAATATTAGAAATGTCTTTTAAATACCACTCAGTATGACGTCATGTCAATTTTTACTTTTTGAGAGAAGAGTATTTTTATTGAACAGTAATTATTCTCTTTAAGTAATAAATTTTACATATTATTGCAATGTTACCTGATAAGTGATAAATTTCATCATCTTATATAACAACGTATTTTATTTGCGAAAAAATCATTTTAGAATAATTAGGTATTTTTTCTCGAAGTTTTTCAAACATTTTATTTCATTTAATTAGATTTTTATTTATTAACAGGTAATTATTGTGTGTTTTATTTAAATATTCATAAAACTATCCGAATATAATAGAAATGTAATTATTTAATTAATTTGTTTTGGATTTTTTTTCCACTTGTCACATTTTGAGGTTATGTTAAACAGACTTTTTGTTCTCGTTCAATTGTTTATGACATTATTCCTTATTCAATATTTTTTTAATTTACAATTCTTATTTCATTGTTACTTGGTAATTTTAAAGAGAAGAAAAAAAAATTGTCATACTTATATTTATTGTTTAAAAAATATCAGGATGGCCACATGTCAGTAAAGTCAGAGAATAATGTCAGAAAATCAAAATCTTTCAAAAATTAGTTTTTTGAATCGTTTTTTTAAAGATAATTAAAGTTTTCAAATATATCTATTCTATAATTAAAATATTTTTGAATAATTTAAATTTTATAAAATTTAATTGAAAGTTTCAAGTAATTTTCGTAATTTTCAAATAGGTAAAATTTTAAAATAGGAATAATTTTATTTTTAGATAAAAAAAATCATGAGCAACGAGGAAAATTTGAATATTGTCAAAAGTGCAATTAGAACGTATGAGAATTTTCCCAAAGAAGGCGTTGTATTTAGGTAAATAATTAAATGATTTTTTTAATTTATGAATTATTTTTTTTTTGTTAAATAATGTTAATTGCTTTTTTTCGATAGGGATATATTTGGAATATTTCAAGACGTTACTGCTTTAAGGGCTCTTAAAGATCTGATTGTTAGTCATGTTTCATCATTAGATGTTGACGTAATCGTAGGTTTGGATTCTCGAGGATTTTTGGTTGGACCAATAATTAGTTTAGAACTTGGAAAACCATTTTTGCCAATTAGGAAAAAAGGGAAACTTCCCGGTGATGTTTTTCAATGTAGTTACGCTCTCGAATATGGAGAGGTATTTTCAAATATTTCTAAAATTCTATTTTCTTTATTTAATATTATTTTTTATTATTATTTTATTAATTTCGTTTATTTTAGGCTATGTTTGAAATTCAAAAAAATAATCTCAGTTCAGGAAAGAGAGTTCTCATTGTTGACGATTTACTGGCGACAGGAGGTGAAGATTTAAAAAATAATTTTTCTTTTTATAAAAAAAAGTAATTTTAGTTTCTAAATATTTTATATACCTTTAGGTTCAATGTCAGGAGCTATTCAATTGCTGAAAAAAAGTGGAGCAACGGTTATTGAATGTCTTGCGGTAATTGAACTTATTGCTTTAAATGGACGAGCAAAATTAGATGCACCTGTTCATTCTATTGTTCAATATTGATATTTTTCTTGAATTCGAAAATTTTTTAAGTTTGTTGAGAGTTTATTTCTAGAATTTTTCAAAATTTTATATATCATATCTTTCAAGTTTTACTGTTATTTGGTAATCAAACAGTGGAGAAAATGATTAAAATTAATAAATACCACTGCATACCTCAAAAATTTTGATAAATTTAGATAAAATTAAATTCGATTGCAGATATCTTCTTATCATTGATAATAAAGCATTTCAATAAAAAATTTTTTCTATTAAAAAATGTATATATTTTCTAATATTCTGTACGGAATGTACATTTTCTATTGACAATAAAGTCATTTTTTATACTTTTATCTAAAATTGTTTACATTTGATTTTTGTCTCAGTCATTTTTCTGTTGAAAATTGAAAATGTTTTCTTACATTTTTCTATTTTTAAAATATTCTAATTTTTGCTAAATTTAATACTCTTGACTAATTAAATATTATTAATTAATTATTCTTGATCAAATTAATTAGTATTAATTAATTATTCTCGACTAATTAATTAATATTAATTAACTATTCTTGACTAATTAGTCATTGTAAATTCATTATTCTTGACTTATTAATTACTACCTATTAATTAGTCTCGACTAATTTATTATTGATTAATTAATTATATAATTATTCCTAATGGTAATTTTTACTATTCAGAAGTATAATTATTATTCATTTGGATAATAATTATCATGGCATTCAATGCCATTTATAAATATATTAATTACACTAATTTGTAATATTTTAAAAATTTCTATTAAATTTACCCTCGGAGTTTTTGCACAAATTTCTAGAATTCTTTGATCTGTAGGCTCCCAATAAGTTGTGAATCTCAGAATCGAGACGTTGCACTTGACAACGTAATTTATTGCACTTTTCTCGATTATTATGAACGTTCGCTTCTGATCTGCATTTCAATAATTTTTCCGCCACTTGGGATTCTATTCTATTTAATTTCAAATCTCTTTGGTAATTCTCCCCAGATTTCTCCAATTTCCATGGTGAATTGCGCACCTGTTTTTTTAAACATTTTTCCGCTTCTGAAATTTATTTTTCTGTTTTTTTTAAATATTACTAAATTGCTAATAATAATAATAGGGTTGCCACAAAAAATTCTTCACTGAAATTCAAATATTTTCAAAATCTACTATTTTAATAAAAATTTTTAAATGAATTCAATTATTTAAAAAAAAATGTAATAAAATTCGTTGCAAGGCTTCAATTACTTTTCTATATAATAAAATTCTTCACAGGATTTCACAGGATTAAATCCTGAAAATTAAATTTTTTCAGTACTTCAATAAAAATCCCTAACTTTTCCCTGATTTCCCTGACTTATGGCAACCCTGAATAATAATAATAACAACAATAACAATAATAATAAAAATAGCAATAATATTAATAATGATAATAATAATAATAATAATAATAATAATAATAATAATAATAATAATAATAAGAAAATAATTTACCTTTTAGTCTCGCTTGATGGATATTTTCATTAAATTTCTTTACTTCAGAGCGCAATCTCTCTTCTTCGATTGATTGCATCGCTTCAATTCGACACTGATCATAAATTCGATCATCTTCCTCTTGTCTCACTGTTTCTGTATGTACAAGAATTTTCGGATATTCTTCTTGTGGATATTGAGGATATGAAACTTTTGGCGAAAGTGTAATGATTTTTTTTCTAAAAAAAAAGTACAACATTAATATTTTTATTGATTGTAAATTTTTCTTTTCGAATATATATTTTTTTAATTTTATTAAAAATATTATTATTATTATTATTATTTACCTTAGATAACGATTCGGATGTGATCGATGGGAAATTTGTTGATTCAAGCGATGAGTGACTTTTAATAAATCCTTGACGCGAACTTGTCCCGGTGTTGTGTAAAAACGTTCAATTTCCTCCGGGGATTTAACACTCGAAATTATTGTCTCTCGGGCACAAATACTGTAGGCAATCGTGCACATTAATAAAAAGCTCGGCTGACGAAATGAAATTAAATTATCCCATAGAATTAGCCATTCATCGGCGGCAAGAACTTCGCTCATTGTCGTTCGAAGAAGAGGCCATGCATATTCAGTGGATGTGATTTTTCGTTTGCAGAAAATTTCCAATAGTCCTGGATCCGCTTCAAGGAGAATATTTTCAATGATACCCAAAATATTCAACGGTGGCAGTGGATGATACTCGAACCATTTTTGACAAAAGTTGAGTAAAATTGTGAGAATTGCCTCGAAAGCAAGAACTGGATCTTTCTGAAAATAATAACATTCTTTTGAGTAATTCAGGATTCAAAATTTTAATTTAAAAATTTTAGAATAAAAAGTACTCACTTGAAAGACGACTGTAAATGGAAAAATAAGTCCTGGCAGTATCGAGCAATTCGACAAAATTGGACACCATTGAAGAATTTTTTCCAAAGTTAGTGTTAAACAGGAAGCTTTACTTTTATCAGCGAGTGGATAATCTTGAAGTAATTCTTCAATAACACTCGCGGGAATATTATTCCCCAAGGAAGCGTAAGATTGACGATTTCCTGGTAGGTGTAAAATTGTCGACCAAATTAACATACGATGTTTCTCTGGATATTCGCCAAATTCTTTGAGAATTGGTAACAGTCTTTCTAATTTTAATTCCTCTTTAATACTTTCCTTGATACACTGTAAATGATCGGTGGCAAGATGTGCTCTTAATTTACCACTTTCCTTCAATTCATTTCCTTTTTTTTCCTTCTCCTTTCGTTTCAAATTAACAATTCTTTCTAAATTTGTCAAAAATAATATTCCATCTTGATCGATGTGAGCTAGAAATTTCCCTCTACTAGACACGCGAAATCTCTTTATTCCATGAAAAATACCACAACAATTTTTTATAAACTCCGAAGTTGTTAGATCGAAAAATTTACAATTACAATCGGATGATAAAATTGTTATTATCCTATTTGCACCACCGTCGAGAGGTTGTGGTACGATTTCAATTTGCCTCGCGCCTGTTATTTCATCTTTAAAATTGAGATTTTTCAAAAGTGTCCAATCGTGAGTGTTGAAGATGAGAATTTTATTTTGCACTCCAACGATTATTATTGCACGTCCATCGTTTGTGAAGACAAAATCCTTCACGTGCTGTAAACCAAAGGATTTTGTGTTCACTTTAAATTCATTGCCAAAGTGTTGAAATGTCCAGGCTTGGATAACATCGTTTGGATAGAGGACGGAAATTAAACCCTGACTGGAAAATGAAGCTTTCTTTAAAGTCACTCGATCGATATTGAGTCTTAATTGATGAATTTTACAGTAACATCGAAGATCCCAGATTATTGCTTCTTTTGACGATGATGTGAGACAATAGTGTTTGTAAAAAGAAATATTTGTTGGTAGTGTCGAATGACCGACGAGTAGACAGAAATTTTTTAGTGAATCTAACCTTAAAACTTTCACGTCCGACGAATAGTGACCGACGAGAAATTCATTTTTATTCACAGGATTAAAAGCGATGAATGTACAGGTGCCAATGTGTCCTAGTTTTCGAAAAGAAGGAGTTTCGTAGGCTAATTCGACGTAGTAAACGGTGCCCTTTGAATCGACTGTTATTAACGTTTCCTCATCATCACTAAAAGCCAAGTGGGCGAAATTTACTCGTATCGATGGACAAGAACCTCTTTTTATTATCTCCTCCAATTTATGATGATTTCCACAAGCGTATTTTTGAAGATCTTTCCACTTTTCATCGCCCATTGTACCGGTTTTCTTTAAGGTTATGTCTCTCAAACATTTCTTAATAGACGAATTTCGCGACTTTCCAAGACTTTAATTTATTTTTTGATTCAAAATCAATGAAATACATTTTAAAATTTATTCTTCTATGTTTTAATTAATATTTTTATAACTATCAGTATCACTTTTTTTGAAAAAAATGTCGATAAACAAACGTCAAACTTTGTTTTGGTTATGTGTCAACTATGAAGCTGGCTGGGCAACGAGAAAAATCGATACCATCGATACAAATCGATTTTCCATTTTCAAAATTTTTAATTTTTAATTAATCTAAAATCTAAAATACATAAGAAAAAAGAAACAAAGATACATTAGTAATATTTCGTTGTATTAATTTATTACTATATAGAATAAAGAATAATTATAAATTTTTTGTTTAAATCGAGTCGATAAATCGAACTCTTGTCCGTATGGACCAATCAGAATGCACTTTCGTCAGAACACAATTTCTGATTAGTCAGAAGAAAACTAAAATTTTAAATTGAAAATTCTCAATTGGAAATTCTTCAGAAAAATTCTATAAAAAGAAAGACAATCACGAATTATAAAAATTGTGACTATATAAATATAAAAAAGTAAAATATAATGCTTTAAGTGCAATTGAAAAAAGAAAGAATGCAAAAAGTCAGTTGTAAATTTTCATTCCGCGCGGGAAAGTGAGACGCATGACGCATGCGCACTTTGTTTTGGAGCGATTGAATCCAACATGGCTGCCGTGAGCGTGATGCCGTTTGACGTACACGAAAAATAATGACTTTTCCCCGGTTTTGACAGACCTGTTTATTATTACGCGAGTGTCTAGAGTGATAGTGAGTGTTTTTCGTCAACTTTTTATGTGATAATGGCATTAGTCACTGTTCAACGTTCTCCAAGTGTATCGAGTTCACCTCAGAGTTCGGTAAGTTGTTTCTCTCCCCTTTTTTTGTTTCCATTTCGATACGCACCCAGAATCACCAGATACACAAGTGGATTAATCATATATTGTATAAATTAATGTCAATGATCCCTGGTGTTTCTTTAGAAAAAAAGAAATTTAATTCAAGTGAGTGCATTTTATTGCCATATTTTTTTTTTTGTTCACCAAAACAACTCTCGGCGCGATGTAAGACTTTTTTGTTGATAAAAAAAATTTGCACGATTTTTTCCTTATTTGGAAGGGTATAATATTTGACGTTTGCTGGAGAAATGGAAATCATGAGATTTGTTGTGTATTTTTGTTTATCTTCTTGTGAGTCTAATTGCATATTTAGAGTACGATTTTGTTTTGGTCTTACTGTTGTAGAAAATTGATTTGTACGAATTTTGGTTGTTTTTTCTTCCTTTGAAAATAGTGTTCAATATTTTTTTCTATGGGATTTATTTCGTGTATTTTATTTTGTATTTTATGGATTTAAACGATTTAAACACAATCACAAGAGAGTGTTTTTGAGGTTATGTTTGTGGGAGTAGTCAAGGATTTTCTTTGTTTAGAATATTTTTCTTAATCGAAGAATCTGAGTTTTAGATTATTGTATTATGAAAAAAAATGCACAACTGTCATTAGTCACGTGTGTCGAGTGACGTGTTAATAAACTACAAAACAATGTAAGCACTTTAAAAAGTAAAGAATTTGTTTATTTCAGGCTGTCATTTTTGTTATAGAAATTATTTTATCTATTAAACTTTTTCTTCATAGTTTCTCGTAAAGAATTTTAATTATTTAAAGCGAAATTAAATATATTTAAAATATTTATGTTATTTACTCATTTACTAATTTAAATATTATTATTATTATTTACGGTTTAAATTATTGTTTCGAGTATTTATTATTGAATTCTAAATTTTAAAATTCAAAGAGTTTACTATTAAAAATTTTATTATTTTCTAATTAACTACTATAAATATTATTATTATTATTATATTTACAGTATTTGTATTGTAAATATTAAAATTCACAGTAATTACTATTGAAAATATTATTTACTGTATTTACTATTTGAAATATTATTTACAATATTTACTTTAAAAATATTAATATTTATTTTATTTACTATGGTAAATATTATTATTCATAAACAGTATTTACTACTCCAAATAAAGTTACGAATTTATAATTTTACTACTTTCGAATATAATTTGTTTTTTTCAATACTTCTATTTACAAAAAAAACTATTAAATATTATTGGTGATTTTTTTTTTACTTGAAAAAAATCGAAAACAAATATCAGGATCGCCACAGCTCAGGGAATTCAGGAAAAGTATAATTGGTCAAAGAAGTCAGGGAAAAGTCAGGGATTTTTATTAAAAGTACTGGGAAAAATTGAATGTTTAGAATTTATAAGAAAATTCTGAATTTTTGTGTCTTTTTGTTTGCCTCATTAACTATTAAATTATCCACAAATTCAACTAGTTAATAAATATAAAAATTCTTTCTGGAAATTCAATTATTTTCAAAAATTTGAAAAAAAATTCTCGTCAACATTTGAATTACCTTTATAAATAACAAAATTCTTTTCCGAAATTCAATTATTTTCAGGAATTTTAATAGAATTAATTAAAAAATATTCAATTATTTTTATAAATAACAATATTCATCACAAGAATTCAATTATTTTCAAAGTTAAGAAAATTCTTTGCAGAAATTCAATTATTTTCAAAAAATCTAAAAAAAAAGTTTTCAACATTTCAATTATTTTTCTAAATGAATAGCAAAATTCTTCGACAAAATTCAATTATTTTCAGAAATTTTAATAAAATTTATTGCAAAATTTGATTATTTTTATAAATAATAGTATTCATCACAAGAATGCAATTAATTTTAAAAGTAATAAAATTCAATTATTTTCAAAAATTTTAATAAAATTCGTGGTAAAATTTCAATTATTTTCAAAAATTTTTCTTAATTCAATGATTTTCAATTTTTTTCTATTTTAATAAAATTTCTCAGAAGAATTCAATTATTAAACAAAAAGTTTAATAAAATTCTACACAAAAATTCAATTATTTTCCAAAAAAATGAAAATTTCACAGGATCTCAATTTTTTAAAATTTCTATTTTAAATAATTGAGTCACTGAAATTTAAAAATTTTAATTTCCTGTGTGCATACATTTTTATAAATTTTAAAATTCCTTTAAGAATTTAATTATTTTCATAAATAGTAAAATCATTCGGAGGAAGTCGATATCTTCATGTTTTATAACAATATTCTCCTAACTTGTTGAATTTGAAAAAGGTTTAAATTTGAATGTTTTTGAAGAATTTTAATTCCTACGGAAAAATAATAGTGTTTAAATATTTATTTAAAAAAGAAGTTATTGATGTTTTCGAATATTTTAACAATTAAAGAAATTTGTAAATAAATGTAGAACATTTTTTAGGGTCAGGGAAAAAATCAAACTTTTGTCTAGAAATCAGGGGAAAGACAGGAAATAACAAAATTAATTTTTTGTGGCAAAAATTTGTTGCTTTCTTTACATAACGTGAAAAATAGAATGTTTATTGAACTTTTGAATAAAAATTTTAACTAGCAGTAAATTTAGCTTGTTTATTTTTATCGTCTTTATTTTTTTCTAATTAGAATTAATTAGTTTCGATGAGTGAAATAATTTACATAACGTTGAGTTTGGGGGCGTCGCGACACTGCGTTTAAAACGAGCGATTCTCGAACATGGTAGGCCGAATGTAGCCGAATAAATAGTGTATATACGATGAAAAATAAACCCCTTCGAAGTAACAGTCTTCAGTTTGCTAGTCGCGCTTACCAACGATGGTAGGTGTCGTGGCTTTTAAACTCCCTTTTAAAATCGTCCATTTTTCTTCGTAAAATATTTTTTAAAAAAATAAAAATTTTAACCCTAATTTTATTTCATTAAAAAAAGAATTTTTTAATTTTTAATAACTTTTTGTCAAATTGTTTCTTTGTTTACTTGATGTTTGATAAATAGAAAAAAAATGTTTACGAATTATATTCAGTTTCGAAATATTTAATACATGAATTTAATTAATTTATTAAAAGAAGAAGTGAAAAATAATAAATTATATTTATTTGGTACACTTTTGATGCATAATTCGGTATATAAATAAAAAGTGTGAACGTAAATATAATAAACTGATGGAAAATTTATAATCGATCGATATGACAATATATTAAATTAATTAACTAAAAATATGAAAATTCATCTCTTGGTGTAAATATAGGAGTAATTGTATTGAAATTAAATTAATTTAATTCAAATTAGTAATTTAATTAAATCTAGTTTCATTTAATTAAAAATAAATTAATTTTTCAAACTTTAAATTTATATTTTTTTTTAGTGTTTGGTTTTTATTGGACAATTCAAGTGTTTCGTGTAGTGAATCGTCTTTAATTGTTATTATCAATTTGCATATGGAAAAAATTAATTTTAGTGTTGAAAATATTGTTATTATTGGTGCGCGATGATTTTATTGAAACAGAAAAATGCAATTTTGTATGTTTTGCCACCACCATCGGCTCCAAAACCACCGTCACCGTGGACAAGTATTTTTTGGGGAGATGATCGACGACCTCGTACGCGAGTCGCTCGAGGAACTCGCGTGATGCAATTGCGTAACAAAGTGATTGCTAAAGTAAGATCTGTTATATATAAATTACAAGAAAAAAAAGGAAAAAGGGATTTTTACACTCGTAATAGTAGAAAAAAAATTATTCACTTGAAAATTAATATTTTTTTTAATGTCGTTTATTTTTCGCCAAGAGTCACGTAATTATATTTTTTGAAATACATACTTTTTCACGTTATGTGTACAAATTCAGCCAATTTTTCATTGTTTTCTTTTTCATTAAATTATAAAAATACAAAATTACTTATTAAGAAAAAATATTATTTTATTAATATTATTTTATTAATAAGAAGATAAATAAAAATACAGTAAAGAAATAGTTACTATACAGTATGGCAATCATTACTATACAGTATAGCAATAGTTACTATACAGTATAGCAATAGTTACTATACAGTATGGCAATCATTACTATACAGTATAGCAATCGTTACTATACAATATAGCGATCGTTACTATACAGTATAGCAATCGTTACTATACAGTATGGCAATTATTATTATACAGTAGGGCAATTATTATTATACAGTAACTATACTCCAAAATAAATACTAATAAAAATACTGGAAATAATTCTAGGGAAATACTAGAAAATATAG